TGGAGTTCAAGCACTTGCTCCAGTGGACAAGTGTGAATATCGAAAACTCTGCTTCAAACTTGTTCGTTTTTCCCACCGGACTCGTGCAATGCGGTGTAGACGGCGGTGTTCGAACACGGCAACGGTCGTGTCCCTGCACCATACAGGAGAACCGGAGAAACAGATGCAGCATATAGTCGACTATTCACGGGCAATCGAATATTGCCGCGCTGTTGTAGGTTTCTCCAGTAAGGTTGTTCACGCTAAATCGTCAAGTTCATTACCTCAAGTTACACAGCTAGAATATTAATAGCGTTGTGGATTCAACTTTCATAGACCGCAACTGGCCTGAACTGAAAGTTCTAGAGGAAAAGTCAAGTGCCCTATAGTCGATTTTCTTAGAGATCAACAATTTCTCTTCATTGAGAATTTATGCACTAAATGATAGCTAATTAAGGAAGTGAAAATCGCAACTACTATTCGGCCAGTCGAATATCTGATTTTTGAGAGTGACATCGGGCTAATCGCCGCAATTCACTATAAACAACGACCAGTTTCTCATGATAACCGGAGGTAAACGTAGCTTCAAGTTTTAGACGTAGGTTAGGATGGAGCGTGCACACATGTATTGAGTAAGTAAAAAAATCTAAATGACTTCATGCACAATGAACTTTTCGTTTCTGTCCGGAGAACAGTGTTGCGGATAATACAGTTATGAGTTATCCATACATAACGTTCATTCTTTTTAATTTGAGCTGTACTATCTCTAATGTATGCATAATCCGTACTTTTCAGAATTCCACACAGTTTACCATATATCGAAATTTACCAAAAATGTATATCATTCGATGTTAAGCGTCAGGGTTGTTAGGAAAGTGTGTTCCCTTCTTTCATTGTTTACAGTTTGTCCCTTCAATGAAGATAGTGTTTCGTCATGCATAAAAGATATGCACGAACTTAGTATTAAACTGATAAATCTTCGTCGATTTAGGGGAAACCATTTTGCAAATGTCACCTTACGTACGAGCTGTTGAATGCGTAAAACTATCTGAGCAAATGGTTCTTTATGTGGCTCTTATATGTGTGAGTAGCTTTCACGATTGGATCACGTTTACATCACTAAACTTCATTGTCGGTCGACTGACATCAAACAGTGTAATCCAAAACTTGCAGCATATGAAGAAGACTAAATAGCGTGCATGTTTGGCCAACCTGAGCAACACTGGGAAATCGTGGTGTGCGTTGCCAAATCACTATGCAGTATATCACCAAAACCAAGCTATTGTTGGACTCCCACTTTCTAAAATTGAACGGCTTAATCATTTCCTGACCGATAAATACGATCACTTTCTCTAGGTGATTCTTGTGGTTGTGATTTTAAGAGATAATTGTATTTTTCCGAATCCCGATGCTATTTTTGTCCCCAACAGCTCGTGGCCCGAATGTATCCCCGCGAGTGTCTGATGGTAATGCCACTTTCCGTATTCGGTTCGGGTAAAGTTGTGAATGAGGAAAATCTCTATTTCTTTGCCATTCGTAACAAAGTGGCCAGAGCTACCATGGACAGTGCACTGCGAACACGGCAAGCGACCGAATCCAGTCCCTCGTTCTCATCACACATTACAACTGGATGCCTTCGCGGCTCGCTGCTCGAATGTGCACACCGACTGTTTTCCAAGGTACCGCTTTGTTTCAGACAAGCTCTGAGATTTTGAATTGTAAAGGCCCCGAAATCAGTTAGTCACCGAACATAGATTGTTCCATTTTGTTTGAATGTGTTATGGGCTCAGGGGATTGCTTTGATTTGATTACGAACGTAGCGCAGATAAGGCGGAGAAAATGGAAATGGTGTGGTGGACCTTTTTAGGATGAGGTTCATCGCATGTGCAGTTAATGGTTATCGTGTGAATTGGAAGCATCTGAGCAGCAGACATGGTTGTTTACTAATTGCACACTAAATGTTGTAGTTATCCAGTCCGTTCTACTGTATTATCCAACTAGGCGGTCGTTACAATTAAGGGTTGCAACCACAATGGCCTTATTCAAACCCTTATTTGATCACATCATTTTCGGAACTGAACCAGCAAGATCGAGGTTAGGTTAAGCTTTCTAGGTTACTTCAGTGAGTATGCCAGCCTTGCATTTGTCCGGGTTGTCTATATTTGACGGACAGAAAGCATCATCGCATCGATAAGTGCTATATTTATGATGTGAACAACAAGTCGAATTGAAAATATAAAAATCGAATAATTGTGAATTTATTAAACATTTTGTCAGCGGATTTGATCGTGTAGACTCTGCCATGATCTTGATATCAGCTCCATCAACAGTTTGATCATAACTAGTAACTCTCATGTATCGGTTCGTTTTTCGTGCACCCTCATTCTTCTCCCATCACACGTCATCGGTAGCACCCTTAGCTTCTATAGTTGATCTCAACCATTTATTCCACTCGTGGTAATTGTTAAATGTATTCGAAAAACTAAGATATTAAACACTATCCGTTTTTCAATTTAAAAGTGAAAATATTTTTGGCACTGAAAGTCCGTCACGTCAATATTCCTGATCTGGTAACGTCCATGAAAATTGGTAGTTTCTTATTGGTTTAATACACACTTCTAGGAACTTTTTCCGAACTGACTTTAAGAGTTACTCCTACTACTATTGTTAAAAATCCCGGATAGTGTGATAAATAAGGATAAAGAAAGTGTCAGTAAAAAAAGAGCTCCTGTTCAACACAAAAAAATAATGTCTGCAGTCTTTCGCATAACCCAAATTGATGTCTGTAGGTCATTATACCAGAATTAACTCAGTCAGAAGAACAGTGGCATATGTACTTCACAACGCTATTAAAAATTATGTACAAATTACCACGTTAAACTCACTATTGCTTCCATTCGTGCTTTTCAAGGGACCGGAAAATTGCTAGTTAGGTAGCGCTAGTGGAACGTGTCTGCCTCGTCGAAGTCTCGTGTGGACATTCATTTCCTCTAGTACTGTCCAATTGTGTTATGTCAAATACACTGTGCTATCATCGGGAAACTTGTCGGATCATGGGACTGGAAATCGTAACACATGGAAAGGTGAAACTTCTTCACTGTAATTAGCTTCTAGAGGTACAGAATTTAGGTCAATGTCGGGGCAGCAGAATGTGCACCAACGTGACTTCTTGATTCACCCCTAAGATCTCGAGAAAGAGAAACATGTACTGCAAATTCGATTTTGTCTAACTCTGGTTGCAAGGGTCATACACTCCTTTCCAAATTTTCCTCAAGGTTCCCCTTGTTATATGTTTGCTTCATTAAAAATTGTCAATATATTTGAACTCTTATAACAATCTAATCGCTTTTATTAGAATTCCACCACTTTATTGCATACCGTTTGTGCAAAAGGTACAAAAAATAAAGCTGTTTACCATCATTCTGAAAGATTGTATTTTGGCTTACGAAATGTCTGGACAGCGCTTCTGCCCTGATGAGCTACTGGCGACCATTCGGTTTTAGCACACATTTACCTGTATCATTTCGACATCTTCATTTGACCCACAAAATTTAACTGTGTCCATGTTTACTTTTTGAAACAGGTTTTTCTGCGTCTCTTGGCATATTACATGCAAAGGAAAGAAATGTATTCGGAAACAGAAGGTCTTGATGGTGCACATTCAAAGCCGGGCAATGGAAGTAGAGTAAGTTGGCCTAGAACTTGAGTACATCATTGGCGTAATTTTTCATCTCAATAGGATGAAGATAGCACTAATAGCACAAATCCATCGGGTGAATCTAAAGCATCCGATACCCGAGCAGAACATCAGAAACCATTACGTACTGCACACCCTTCTTCCGGAGGCGGAGGAAGTATTAGTATTGGCAACGGTGGTGGCAGCGGAGAGGAAGGGACAAAGTTTGGCTCCGGGCACACGGAAGACACGCAGCGTTTGCGTGATGAATTCTCCGTCACACTGTTCAAATTCAGTACTGTTTTGGAGGAGACTATCACTGCACTACAGGGTGTATTCAATCTGGAAGAGCCCGATTTCATGCCCTCAGATGATTATCAGATTGATCCGTCACGTGATTACTTAATGATTCCCAAGATTTCCAAACTGTTCCGAGTTTGGGGTGAGTTTATGTATGATTTGAAACCAAAAACTATTCTGCTTATAAATTCATGCATCCCGAAATTTGTGTAGCGCCCGAGCTATTTCTGAGATTACTATATATGTATATCACCTATTTTTCGGACTAGATGGTGTTTTACTTGTAGTTTAGATATACACTTTATCGTTCGTCCAGGGGACTAGGTCACACTGGCCCGTTAGGCTCCCTGGCTGGGGACCCCAAAATTATGGTTACCGATGATTAGAGACACTGAGTGATTTGGCTGAGTATCGCAAACAGTGGCGCTCTTGCATCCATTCCTTATTCTCCTAACGCCACTCTAAATGAATTCTTCATCTTCCGCTTGAATTTGCTTTCAATATTCCAATCTTCATTCTGCTTTTTTATCCAAATGGGGCACCAAAAGACACCAACCAAAACCGACGCACGAAGGTGCATGGTTAATGGTTGTAAAAACTGAACTGAACTCGTCCTGTTTGGAAAAAAAATTAGCACAGCTACCTGAAGAACATCGTTATTACATATATTCAGAAAGGTTGAAAATAGTAGGTTTATATACGATGGGGCTTAAGCTGTATACATCGGAGTCACGGACCCAAATGTCAGGTATTCAAAATCATCTCCCCACATCCCAACCCCGCCAACTCAAGTTGTTTATCTTCCATGTTGGCGTTTGATTGAACTTTGTTTCTTCTCTTTCAGATTGTACGATTTAAAATAACGAGTCAAAATATTGCTATCATTATTGCCATAATTACCGTGTGTAATGATAAAATGAAACTGAACTCATGGTGTGCAGGGTTTAACTGGTCGATGAATCGCAAATTAGTTTTGATCGCACACGATATATACTGCATCCAGTCTTCCTCAAACAGCCCACTTACATCCTTCTAAATAGATTTGACGCTTGGAATATGAGTGCCAAATGGTCCACTATGTATAAAACCGTTTTAGTTCAAGGTTTTCTTGATTCGGTATTTTATTGCGACTCGTTTTTTTATTACATTGCTACCCCGTTTCAGACGATCAAATCGACCAGGTTTTGACCAATCTAGATAAACCGAGACCGATCAGTTCGGGACCGCTGGAGGAAGTGGACTATTGGCGTTACCGATGCAAGGTTCTTACGGCGGTGGCCGAAGCCTTGCGCACCAAGACCGCTCGTTGGGTGATCGATGCGTGGTCTGTTCTATGTCCGGATGCAACTCCTTACGGACGAGGAGCAGAAATTAAAGCGCTGATGTTGGAAGCTAAAGACAATTCACGGTAAATATGATTGAAGTCAACTTACATCCCCCGCCCGCCTTTTCTATCATGCGAGTGTTCTACTGCTTGCACCAATCACGAAAAACTCCTTTGTCTTGCTACAAAACTGGCAGGTGGTGAACCACACAGGATTTCCGTATATTAGGCTTGGCATTGTGTCTGTTGAAGGCAATGATGTGTACCATAAATATCTTGTGACTTTTACAACCCTTCAAGGTTTATTGGATGGGAATTGATTCTCCAGTTTCGGAGCTTAAAGTACTAATTGATCTCTCCATACCCAGTTAGTTGAAACGGAGAGAAGACTAGTACTTCTTTTTTAACCTTTCTCAGCCGATCACGTAAAACAATATGAAGTGTCGAACTCGTCGGTTTCGGACCGTCGATCCGTTCCAACTACGTTGCAGTAACAGCTACAGAATATGAATATAAAAGGAGTAAGGGAAAGACAGCAACCAAAATCGGCGCGCGTAAGTGCACAGTTAATGGTTGTACAAACTGAGCCTGAACCAAAACTGGCGGAAGGGAAGCGTGTTTACAAAATAAACTATAGTCATGGTCCACGGTAATGTGGTGTATGTAATAATACCTACTGGCCCAGAGTTGTGGGTTACGTAATCTGATTACTATTGATTATCTTAGTGCTAAACAATGCGGATTACAGTTATGTAACAAATGACAATAGCATTTTCTGTTATGTATTTGGAACGAAATGTCAGTAAAGCAGTATTGCACAAATCATGTCTTGTACTATCCGATTGCATTTTAACTGGGCTCTACGCCAAAAAAGTACGTTAATAATTAATCGTTCTCCTTAGTGTGACGATTTGGGTTACTGTCTTTGGGTTTCCCATTTGGATAAAGGATTAGCGAAAATATTGTAATGTTGAAAACTGACTTAAACAGAATAGGGAGAATTCATATAGACTAACGCTACAAGGATAATGAGTAAATGTATGTTATTGTAGACTTGGCTTAAAAATAGTCAAAAAGAGAAAAGACGATAAAGAAGATAAAGCTCAACAAGAAAGAGCCATAATGATGAATACTTGTTTTCGTTGGCACAGAAGAGATTCTCGCCGTTAGATAGTAATCGCTTTGACAATCTTGAGCAATTTAACATTATCATCACTGTAGATCATACGATATGCTTTCTCGTAATTAACACTTGATTGGCGAGTGAACTGCTCGATGTTTCAAGTGTCTGTTTTGTATTGACGCTTAGTTAATCTGATCGGTTAGCAATGTTCGAGATATATTTCACAGTATATTTGGCCGTTGAATTTCTCGAGTTGAAAAGACATTTCACCATTTGATGTGCTGTGGTGTGTTTTGCCTGGAAAACATCAATATGACCAACCAATTCGGGGACATTTTCTCGTATCCATTACCACCGTCTGCGGATTATTTTTTTCAACTAGTGTTTTGTCACTTCAAATTAACTTATAACTTCCTCTGTGACAACCAACCACGTTAATGGTTGTCTAGAATATTTATTCAAGTTTTTCATAAAAAAAATAATTTATTACGCCTTGTGCAAATGCCATGCATACACAATTGCGAGTTTATGATAGTTTGGACCTTGATTTGTTGGAGTATTAATCCCACACGGAAGCGCTTGAATTATGCTCCCAATGGTTGATTTCAAGTCACCACTGCAGAATACAGTGCTCATTCGCAAATTATATGAGTTGATATTGTGTGATGATTTGCTTCTATCATCCTTTTATTTACTGTTCATTTCCCTACAAATAATGCTCCTATTAGCCGATAATGTGGAACTAATTTGAGGAGTAGAACCATACCCAATGTAACGCTCATCTTCTGCATTGCGCTTAACATCATTCTGCAGGTGTAAACCATGAAGTGGACAGTTTCTTTTGTTTCTCCTTATACAGAGCACAGGGAAAGCACTGTACAGCTGTCATAACCCCCTTGAAAATGCAACCCCTGACCTCACCGCAAACATCACGCCCAATCCATCAGTGTGAAAGTGATCGAACAGACACTAACTGGGCTTTCATTACTGAATACAATGCAATTTAAGTTGAAGATACTTCACATTTTAATTAAGTCAATATGTATATGCATATAATAATTGATCGCTTTGGTCTGGTGGAAAAAATGGACCTAATAATTTTAATGTAGCACTGAAAACGAAACCAAAAAGAGAACGAAATCTGTCAGATGACTTCCCTGAATTTTTTCAATGAAACGGATTGTAACACATCATAATGCGATTTAAGCCGCACAAATGGCAGTCCCAATCAAGTCCGTCATTCTTAAGCATCAGGCTGAAACTCCAAAAAGTGACTTTATTATTGCATCTATTAGATCTAAATGAGCTGTTATTCAAGACGAGATTCATTCATTCAACTAACTCATACAAAAAAATTCAAAAAGTGTACGGTCAAACACACAAATAATTGTTATCCCGTTTATCTGTAACTTCCCATTTTAATAGTTCCGTCTTTTTATTGTGTTCTGTATCCCAACACCCATTCCCGTTATTGCTATTGTTATTATTGTTTTGGTGTTGGTACCATGCTTTTCCGTAATCCGATATTATATATAGAGAGAGTTCAATTAGAAAGAGTTATGTACTACTTGCTACTCGAATACAATAAAAATTGTCCTTTTGCAATTGTTTGTTTAGCGAACTAGCGGAAAAATTTAGGACATGCCAATGTTATGTAAAATTTTCACATGAATTTCTTTAACATGTGTTTTTGTACGTCACATGACATACTGGTTTTAGTCTAGACTGGGTCCAAAACGAATCACTAAATGATAGTTTTTATAACTGAAATGGTTTCATAACTTGCTCCTTGACGGAGCACTGCCAGGTTACCCATACCAAAACTTTTGAACATTCTTGACGGATTCACAATCGAGGTCTCTGATCATCCAACATGTGATCCGCAGTGCAGAAGAAAAGCGTGTGTGAACACCGCGAACCACTGGGGCTGGTGTCCAGTCCCTCGGACCCTACGCCCTTTGATCATGTGTGCGAGATATCCGATACACTTCAAACCTGAATCAAGCCGATACTCACTGTTGCAACCAAGAGAACATGGGTGTGGTTCGTGCGCAACTTCTTGATTGGTTTCTAATCAGAGATTTTTGACAACTCCTTTCGAAAATGTTTTCCTTCTTTTTTTATTCTTCTTTGTATGCACCAAGACCGTTAAAGGGGCATTTCATTTAAATTACACAATAGTCGGATACTTTCTTCAACATACAGGTTTCTCCTTCTGGTTGAACGACACTTCAAAAACGTGCAGTTTGGTTCCAGTTTTGACTCAGTCGCGGATACCATCCCAGCCATGGTTCAATCTTTACGGCTTATATGGACCATTTCACGTGGTTATAACAAAGACGAGAGGATGGGACCCCTGCTTCAACGCATTGCTTGGGCCTTATGCGACCGGGTGATTAGTGTGATGGAAGTTGGCCATTTGTTCAGGTAAATGTGCAATCTGTCTTTAGTCGGTCAATCAAATATCTGTACTATGATCACCTTATATATATGTAAACACCTGATGCAATATATCGAAAAGAACTTTTCTTCGCGAACACCGTTTGCTACATTATCTATGGGACTATTTTACAATCTATCTTTTGTTGGAGTCCGAATTGCGATACAACTTTGAACCTGATTTCCTCAAAAAGCATTTTTATTCCCGTAGATGCGGAAACATTCCTCTAACCTTGCACTCATCTTTTGGTTTCCAATCCACCACTTGACCGGATTCTTGTGGACAAAAACGAATCTGTCAGGAGATTAGGTGCAAAGTTTTAATTGTGTGAAACTGTTATTGTTTACAGTTATCCATTCTATAGTTATTCTATTTCTGTCAATCTTCACTCTGGTGCACCATAATTGTACTTGGACTGAAATTTAATCCTAAATGCTCACAGAATTCGTGTCAACACAATAATAATACAAGTTTTTAAAAAAGACCCACATGTCCCCAGTGTACGTTGAACCTGCTAAACGTGTGGCGGAATGTCGTCAACAGTGGCTCCGGTTGCATTTTATTATCTTTGCGAATCTAATCAGTCTGCTTACCTCTCAGTACTGCTCCTGCGTTTTACATCCTCCGTCTGATCCTTCATTTTGTTCTCCCAATTGGGTAGCTGGTAACCAAAAGCCGACACAAGAAGATGCAAACTTATTAATTGTATAAACTGGAATGAAGTTCTCGTTTTCTTTGTTAAGTTTCACCAATGACTACAATCTTCATTTGGGATGATTAAAATTTAGAAAATAAGAAGACCGGTGGGTTTAAAGCTCTGCTGGTTAAATGTATGCAGTACAAACCTTTAGGCTTCTTCCATGTGTGGGTTTGAATCTCATTGAGGCTACTGATCTTTTCATAGCTCCTTATTGTGAAAATATCTGACAAAAGTCTGTCAACAAAACTTGATTAAACGAGTTGTTTTTGGTCAAAAAATATAAAGAATAACATATTGCAGCTAAGGAGGAAATTATCACCATGACTAATAAACATCCACACACGAACAATCTGGCCTTAGATGGGTGTGAAATATATATGTATATATTTATACATACATTCACAAATATCAATCACCAGGATGCACACTAACTGAGTGATCAGGCGCACTATTTCAACATGGTGAAGTTTGTCGTGTACAGATCGTACATTGAAAGCTAGGAAACATGGGATAGTGGCCCGGTGGTAACGTCACCAAATTATCACCCCGCCGGGATGTGTGTTCGAACCCCACCACCACCACCTGACTTTCCCCTTTGCGTATTGAATGGCAGCCCTCTGATTGCCGCTTCCCCGTTCCTGAAAAATTGTTGTATCTTTGTATATTCAATAAAAAAGGAAGTAAAATGAAAAAATAAAAAATAGTTGTTTCCACCTATCATCAGCAATGTGAATCTATCGTCCCGACTAAGGATCGAAGCCGGGACTTCGCAGTTAGAACGAAAGCATACTACCCATATAATCACCGGACAGATGATTGGATCGCCTTTCATTTTGTCCATACACGATATATTACAAAGTATCTTTGTGAGCTTTATGCAGGCATCATCATACCTCTAGGGTTATGAATCGGTGGGAAACATTGAGACCGACTACGTGTTACCTGAGAATCAATCAATTCACACCACATAACCACAACAATACTCATCCACTTGGCAATATCAACAGTTTATCATCACCTAACTTCCGTACGAATCCCCTGAAGTGTTCAGATTTTCTTTTTTTGTTCAACAGGCATATCTAATACATTTTTGAATAGAGAAGTCAGAAACAAGGGTTTTCACAATGTATTTATGATCATTTCGCTGTATCTTTACACATGTCCACTGCAGCCACAATGATTTTTACAGCCAATGAAATAACAACTGTAATACGAAGACAAGATTGCTGATTACAACAGGCAACATAATAATGAAATGGGGAGTCAGTACCCATGGTAATGGTAATGTGGCTAACCATTCATATTGTTTGCACAGATCTGATTTGTGATTGTGAATGGTCAAGGCCTAGACAAACTTCAATAATTTTGCGTCTTTTGTACTGTAAATGACCTGAAATTAACGGGCTGGGATAATTCAACGTCCATTTCATATAGATGTTGCTTAATCGAAGATTTGAATCATTTCTGTCCAATCGATGACGTAACCCTTTCGAATTTCACGTCCATTGCTTTCTTAAGCCTCACAAAGGGGTGGATTTGGGCACGTAACTGCCTCTGTCCCGCCTGTTTAGATAACTGATCATTCATGGTTGAATTAATAAACGTAGTTTGATTTGGTTGGGGGGGGGATAGTAGCATCTGAGTTGCGGTGAAGAAAATGACGAAGTAGACGGCATAAAGGACATGCTTGGCAGGAGAGTTCAAGGGCTGATGTCCTTGTTTTTGTACAGTAGATTGAGAGAAGTCATCATTTTTTGCATAACTACCAGTTTCCCTGTTGTCTATATTGCTTCAGAATGACTGGTGATTAATGCAACCGGATATCCGTTTACTTTTACTACTTTTTTAAGGGATCAATTTCCCCAACTGAAGAGTCTTCTGCACGCAGTTCACTTTCTCTACGAAATAGTGTGCAAACGCGACCGATTGATATACCGATATTGGACATTTACGAAGCGGGTTTACCCTCCAGAGAGAAGAAAATAAAGAGGTAAAAGTTAGCAAGTAAGAGTAGCATCTGTTGCTTTCTAAAATTCGGTATTCCCGTCACGTGATGGACTCCTCAAAACTGTATCGTTAATATATAATGGGTTCAGTCAGAAGACAGTTCAGCTCAGTTCTCACAATCACTAACCATGCACTGGGATGTAACGACTTTTATTGCTGATTTTCGGCTATCCATTTTGACGACCAATGAGGAAGGAGTAAACAGTTTACAGCTAATTGCATCTTTCAAAATGAAAACATAGAAAGAAAGTGAACTAGACTTGCATGGAAAGTAAGAAGATGCGTGACCACTATTAGCTGCCACACTCAGTCATATTCCCACTCAGAACGTGTAGTGTGATGTCTGTGACCGATCCCCCTGGCCATAATTTAAATATCCTCACACTAAGTCCAATTCCGACCACTTAGGT